TGGTGGTGGTGGTGGTGGTGGTGGTGGTGGTGGTGGTGGTGGTGGTGTGTGTGTGTGTGTGTGTGTGTGTGCTTGCATGCATGTTCCTAAATACATAAATACAGCAGAAGTACAATCTTCTCAGTCCATCTAATATGTTGTCAGGTCTGACCATTTGGCATTGGGCAGCCAATCGGTGTTCTCTTCCCTGGCTAAGGCTACTACTCTCTGGCTCTCAGCATTCCTTAGCTTCCTGTAGTTCCTTGTGTAGGATTTAGGCATTGCAAGCCCCAATCCAAGTCCACATTAGTGTGTCCATTGGTGCCATCCTTGTTTAGAAATGTCAGACTCTAACCATGAAGTCTTATCAACATGACTGCCAGAGCATCACTTGATCAAGAGTTTTTGTTGTTGTTGTTGTTGTTGTTTTTATAGCTAGGAACCAGGTGAAAGATCACAGGTATAGTCTATTTAATCTCTTCCAGGTGACTGTTGTCAGTGCCCCTCCTCCCAGTTTAAAGGCCGTGTACACTCATGGAGGGGTTTGGTTTCAGTGATGCAATTGCAGCTATTTCCTAATCTTTCATGTATGTAGTTTGATGATTGAAACTTCATTTCACAAAGTTAATGTGAAACGAACATCAGACATCAACACCAGATTCCCGTACTAAAACTGAACATTTACTTTCAAAATGTATTCAATTGAAGATGACTATACTTTTCTTTTAAAAATTGGCTGCATATAGAAAGAAACATGTTCGTTTTGCTTTGTTTGTTTGAAACAGTTTTAGGGCACCTGGTTGTCCTCAGACACCTTGTATAGCTGAAGATGACCTTGAACTCCTGATTCCTACTAGATGCTGGGATTAAAGATGTGCCTCCTAAGAGTGAGCCTCCTAGTGTTTGCTCTAGCAGGGAAGCGTTCTAAAAACTCACTGTAGTAAAGCTAGACAAGTTTATAATAGTCCCAGTCAGTGTCCTGTGGTTGGAAATGACTGAGCAGCCTACTGCTAGCTTACTTGTTTTCAAATCACAGTTTTATAGCTTCCCCAGAGTTATTTCATTTCTTACATCCTTTACAGTTTGTGATAAGTAACTTAAAGGCTCTAAGCTGTTAAATAAACAAAATTGCTCTGCTCATTCTGGTAATGCCATAACTGTCACGAGCCTTTCCCTGATTTCCTACCTTCTATACCAGATTGCCAAAAGTAATAGGATCTGCTCTCAGCAGGAGCGTCTGGCTAATCAAAATAAAATCTCTCTTGCAGATTCTTACAAAGATTTGGCTAGCTTTGACTATAATTAACAGGGGATGGTGACATACTTTTTCAAACACAGCAGAGGATGGTTTTCTTTTTCTTCTTTTCAATAATTTATGTTTTAATTCACTTTACATCCCTATCACAGCCCCCTCCCTCCTCTCCTCCCAGGCTCACCCTCACAAGTCTCTCCCCACATTGCTCCCTCCCCTTCTCACCAGAAAAGGAGGATCCCCCCCCCCCACCTTGGGTTCCACCCTACCCCAGGACATCTGGTCCCAGCAGGACTAGCACAGAGGCTCAACTGTAAGTAAGGATAGGCTAACGTAGTTCTCAAAGATTTTAAATGCTAAGGAGGGACCATTAATAAGGATGGCCATGTCACAGAGTGGTCAAAGAAGGGTTTTCTTCCTATACCACAGTGCATTTTTAAAGACTTTACAGATGCTATTATTTTAATTATGTCTGTATGTATGGGTATGTGGGTATGTGTGTGTGCCAGGGCCATGTGGGCAGAGGTGTTGGAGCCAGAGTTATAGGTAAGATGGCTGATGTGAGTGCTGGGATTTGAACATGAGTCCCCTGTGCAAGACCATCATGCATTCTTAACTGGTGAGCCATATCTCTACCCCAAGATATTTTTAAAGAAACTCGAGTTGCCTAGTGTTGCTTTAAAATACATTCTTGCTTGTGTTTCTTAGGTCATGATGGGGCATGAAAAGGGTTATTTTGACTTTTTAATATTATTTACTTGTTTTACAGACCTGACTCTGTTCACAATAGTGAAAGTGTTTAAGTATCTGATGCTTTGCCAGCAGGTGAACTTATATTACTGTTTTACAGCAGGGGGCATGGTGTTATTTAACTTAAATAGTGATGATTCTCTAGTCAAGAGAAGTCCCGTAATTTCTTTGAGCTTTGAATTTGGGAAGTGACAATAATTGGGTGGGGGTGGGTGGGTAACAAAACAAGTTTTTGGAACAACATACTGGGTAAGGTACATGTGTGCCTGGCTTTAGCAGCTCCCAGAGCTTGCTTCCCCCCTTTGCAGCTCCTGTAGACCCACCTGTCGAATGGAGCTGCTGTTTACTGCTTTGCTTTGTTCATAATTTGATGACTTTTTTGTTATTGTTTTGTTTGTTGTTTTGTTGTTTTGTTGAAGCATAAGCTACAGAGGATACTTGAAATCTTGAGGCAGTGTAGCTTTCAAACAGTGGGTTCTACTTAGGATAAGAAGCAAAGACTTAGTGTTTTTATGTGTTCCGTCTGAAGATGGCTTTGCCTTGGTAGTAATTGATGGATTGCATACACATGCCTGTCATCTTTAGGTTGATTCGAACACATGGCTTGGAGATGATTGAGAGACCTGATCTGTTCACAATAGTGAAAGTGTTTAAGTATCTGTGATACTTTGCGAGCGGGTAAACTCATATTACTTTCATTTTCTTTCAGATTCATGAAAAACTTCATTACTATGAGAAGCAGAGTCCAGTGCCCATTCTCCATGGTGCAGCAGCATTGGCTGATGATGTGAGTATGCCTTTCTGAGTTTGCAGGATGTATCGCCCATGGCCCTGCCTCAAGTGCAACCCACCCCACTGCAGACAGATGTGTGCAATCCTGTGAGTGAAAACTAGAAGTTGCAAATGTTTCCCAAATCCCTGTCATCACCACGCTTGTGCTGATGCTGTGCGGATTTGTATCCACTTTCTTTTTCTAAAATTGTGCATAGAGGTACCCTAGTATTATGCCTTCGTGTCTATGTAATAGAAATTGTAGGCTTCAAATTTTGTGCAAAGAAAAACTGTCTGGCATCAGTGTTCTGTGAAAGTCACACAAGGGGAATGCTTTGGAGAAATAAAGACAAATGAGATAGTTACATTGCTGACAGTACCAAGAATGACAGATACTAGGATAGAAATTGGGCATATTAAATCCATAAAAGGCAGTATTGTTTTTAGAATGAATTATAGAGTATAGTAATGATTTATGGATATTAGACCATTCCAAATTACCTTTATAACCAAAAAATAAATTTAAGAAGCATTTGGCATTGATGGAGTAGTTAATTTCCTGTCTCTATAATTTTATTTTAAGCCTTTGGAAGGGGAACTCACTTGCTGATTCCCACTGTTAACTCTCAGACTTGGATGAATAGAGAACCCACCTGGATAAACTGTAAGGGCGTGGAGCTCAGCATCGAATGGGTTGATGTGTGTAGTGACTTCTAAAGCTTATTTGTTGCTAAAGCTTATTTGTTGCTTTTCAGTGGGGCTCTTATTGCCATAAAGCAAACCATAACTCAGTGTTGTAGAGTGTTGGGGCCCCAATAAAATAAACAAGTCAACTGTCTTCCAAAGTTGACTTTCTATCCTAATATGTAAGATAAAGACCTAGGGACTAATAACCAAGTTATAGCTGATTGGCTCTCAGACACATCCCTTTTGTGTTCTCTGTGGGTATAGGTGTGTTTTAACACATGTCCCACAAAGAAGCAGCACAGAACCCAGACTTTTAAAAGGTAAAGATAGTCCTATGAGTTGCTGCAGTTGCAACTTATAAGAGCCTTAAAAACTAGCGTCAAACCACAGACCCCAGAGAGGTTTTAGAAATATTTATGTGGAAACTAATGGCCCCCTCCCATGCAAATTATAAAATTTTCCTTTAAAGATTTGTGTGTGTGTGTGTGTGTGTGTGTGTGTGTGTGTGAGTGTGTACCAGAAGAGGATGTTGGATCTCCTGGAGCTACAGTTACAAGTTGTGTACTGCCTCATGTGGGTGCTGGCAACCAACATGGTCTCTTGGAAGAACCAGAGACACTCTCCACTGTTGAGCCATCTCTTCAGCCCCCAGTTTTGCTTTTGACTGTTCAAACAAACAGACAAAAATAATTCAAGGCAGGGAATATCACTTAGTGTGAGAGTGTGTCCCAACTATGTGACACCTGGGTTCAAGGTTCAGAAGCTCCACAAATAAACACATTGGAATCTGTGTAGTTATCTGTGGGGTTTAATTTACTAGAATGGTATAGTTAAAATGTCAAAACACATGTATGTAGTGTGTAAAGAGCTATCTGTGTAAGTTAAAATTTGTATCTTGATAAAATGAAAGCAAGTTTGAAGTGTAATTGATGAATCTACCAATCTTCTCTGATTTTGCCTTCTGTGTATATTGTACCTCTACAGAAAGCTCCTCTTCCTTAAATAAGAGCCATCTTGTCCTGTCAGCGTGGTGGAGACTAATGGAGTTCCATGGAGTGTTTTAGGAAGAAACTATACAACACACACACACACACACACACTAATAACACTGTATATTTCATAATTATAATCTCTTTTTAACTGAATTGTGTGTGTGTATGTATGTATGTGTGTGTGTGTATGTTCTTATAGCCTAAAATTGACTAGAAATCTTGCTAGGAAGTTCTTCTATTTTATATTTACCTTGTTTATAGTCGGCAAATGAGAATTATATATATTATGGGATATGGTTAGTACTGTTGCACACACATGCACATTTCATAAGAATCAACTCAAGGCAGTTAGCTTGTCTGCTACCTCAACGTACTGCTTTGCAGCGAGAACATTCCATATTCTTTTTTAGTGTAGAACAAGAGTGATATCAAAGTTCAAAGTTTTTTCTTTTGAACCAACATGTAGGCATCCTTGATGGTTACAATAAAGTACCGCTGGCATTTTTGGTACCAGAGTAGTTGCCAAATAGTTGTGGGTTCGTGATGAGCTTGGCTCCTATTTAACAGACTTTGTAGACTGTGTACAGAAGCATAATAAAAGCTACAGGCCAGTGACCCTGTTAGGAGCGTACAAGGTCTTTTTACCCTAGCTCTGAACAGCACAGCTACTGTGGGTTTCTGGAAGCCCTGAGAGTTTCACCACCTCATCCAGGAGCTGTCTTTTTCTCTTTTTTTTTGTACACTGTCAAAGCTGATCCAGTTCTTTTTACAAATGGCCCTTTGTCTGCGTGCAGAAGACTATTCACAGAGATGAAGTGCTGGGATCTGCCCTCCTGGCAGGAAATCAGAAGGTGAATTGCTGATGGGATTACTCCAGTTGCACTCAGCCTGGCCTGGAAAGAAGAGCACGGATTGATGGCCTGCCTTATTCTCTGCTGACTTATCCTGTAGCTCTGGAAAGAAAACATTCAGTCATGACACAGTGAACCTTATGGCATTCTGTGAACTGTTACTCACGTTGATGTAATCTCCCTTGCAGCTGGCTGAAGAGCTACAGAACAAGGCACCAAACAATGAGATCAGAGAGCTGTTGAAACTGCTGTCAAAACCCAACGTGAAGGTGAGAATACCAAGCATGCGGCTGTGGTGTATATATTCTCAAAGGCACTCAAGGGACCTGTGGGCAAGTTGCTGCATGCTTCCATCTTCAGGTGCATGCTCACTCAAATAGTGTACAGCATCCCAGTACCCCAAATCATATCAAGGAGAAAGAACTGATCCTAGGGTACTAAGTACTTAGAATATTGATGAAGCCCTTAACCATAATGGCAAGTCACAGTCAGAGTTGACAACTACGATTTTGAAAGTCAAGTTTTCATTGACATGGTGAATTCATTTGATCTAATGGTGCAGGACAGAGGTCCAGTGCACATTTTGGCATGGATTATTCTCCATGACTAATTGATAATAGGTCCTTTTCTATAGGGGGAGGATTTCAGCATTTCCATTCCTCCTCACTCAGTATCGCCACTTCCTGTTCTTCATACTGACTCATGTTTCAGGAGCCCATTCCGAGTTACAGAGTAGAGCAGTCCTCAGATAGAAACTTGCAGGATATTGGTACTCAGACCTGGGTTCTCTTCTTTTCACTGTTCTGATTTGATCACTCATCTTTCCTCCAGATGGGATGCAGCTAGTTTTCCTGCTCCCTGTCTGAGGTTGTGAATTTACAGAATTTGATTGTGTCAAGACCTGTGATGTAAACATTTGGACTGGACACTGCTGCTATTATGTCTAAATTACTATCTCATCTGAATCCCATAATTAAAGAGTTATTTTACGATGGTTATTGATAATCATAAGGATATTGAGTGGGATTTATTTTTAAATATTATTTTATTCCTTGAGAATTTCATAAGATGTGTTTTGATCATGTTGATTGCCCACCACCAACTCCACCAAAGTGAAAGACCTGATTTTATCCTCTGGGACAAATGTCCTTTGGGGCCATGCTGTATTTGCTCTTAAATTTACATTTTTTAAAAAAGAGTGATGAATGAGAGTGGAAGTAAAATCTCCATAATCTATGATGTCTAATCCCTAGAGAAAATGGATGAGCACATCCTGCCTGTAATGAGTGAGTGGACTATAAATGATGCCATGGGGCTAACTGATTTGTAATGATTGAAGAGATTAAATTTTAATTCCAAAGCAGGGTAAGAGTGGAGAAAATGTTGCTTGGTATTAATGTGGTTTGGGAAGGAGATTTCAGTCAGACAGTGCTCTGAAGATTGCTTCATTTGTTTTTTCTTTTTTTATTGGATATTTTGTTTACATTTCAGATGTTATCCTCTTATCCCACCCCCACCCCCCACCCTGCCCAGGAACCGAACCCCTATCCCATCCCCCCTCCTCCTGCTTCTATGAGGATGTGCCCCCACCCACCCCCCACTCCCACCTCCCCACCCTTGAATTCCCCCACAGTCAGTGTCCAGCCTTCATGGGACCAAGTATCTCCTCTCCCACCTGTGCCCAACAAGGTCATCCTCCCCCTACATATACAGGTGGAGCCATGGGTCCCTCCCTATGTGCTCCCAAGCTGGTGGTTTAGACCCTGGGAGCTCTGGTTGGTTGGTATTGTTGCTCTCCTCATGGGGCCTGAAACCCTTTCAGATCCTTCAGCTCCTTCTCTCTAACTCCTCCATTGGGAACCCCTTGATCAGTTCATTGGTTAGCTGGTTAGCTGTGAGCATCCACCTCTGAGTATTTCAGATTCTTGCAGACCTCTAAGGAGACAGCTATATCAGGATCCTGTCAGCATGCACTTCCTGACATGCACATCAGCGTCTATTTTTGGCAACTGCACACAGGATGGATACCCAGGTGGAATGGTCTCCAGACAGCCCCTCCTTCAGTTTCTGTCCCACACTTTGTCTCCATATTTGTTCCCTTGAGTATTTTGTTACTCCTTCTAAGAAGGGCCAAAGCACCCACACTTGGTCTTCCTTCTTCATGAGCTTCATGTGGTCTGTGAGTTGAATCCTGGGTATTTCGAGTTTCTGGGCTAATATCCAATTATCAGTGAGTGAATACCATGTGTGTTCTTTTGTGATTGGGTTACCTCACTCAGGATGATATTTTATAGTTCCATCCATTTATTTAAGAATTTCTCAAATTCATTGTTTTTAATAGCTGAGTAATACTACATTGTGTAAATATACCACATTTTTTGTATCCATTCCTCTGTTGAAGGACATCTGGGTTCTTTCCAGCTTCTGGCTATTATAAATAAAGCTGCTATGAACATAGTGGAACATATGTCCTTGTTATATGTTGGAGCATCTTCTGTGTATATGCCCAGGAGTGGTATAGCTGGGTCCTCAGGTAATGATATGTCCAATTTTCTAAGGAACCACCAGACGGTTTTCCAGAGTGGTTGCACCATCTTGCAACCCCACCTACAATGGAGGAGTGTTCTTCTTTCTCTACATCCTTGCCAGCATCAACTATCACCTGAGTTTTTGATCTTAGCCATTCTGACTGGTGTGAGGTGGAAACTCAGGGTTGTTTTGATTTGCATTTCTCTGATGACTAAGGATGCTGAACATTTCTTTAGGTGCTTCTCGGCCATTCAAGTTTCCTCAGTTGAGAATTGTTTGTTTAGCTCTGTACCCCATTTTTAAATAGGGTTATTTGGTTGTCTGGAGTCTAATTTTTTGCGTTCTTTTTATATATTGGATGTTAACCCTCTATCAGATGTGGGATTGGTAAAGATTTTTCCCCAATCTGTTAGTTGCTGTTTTGTCCTATTGACAGTGTCCTTTACCTTACAGAAACTTTGCAGTTTTATGAAGTCCCATTTGCCAATTCTTGATCTTAGAGCATCAGCCCTTGGTGTTCTAGTCAGGAACTTTTTCCCTGTGCCCAAGTATTCAAGGTTCTTCTCCATCTTCTCTTCTATTAGTTTCAGTGTATCTGGTTTTATGTGGAGGTCCTTTATCCACTTGGACTTGAGCTTTATACAAGGAGATAGGAATGAATCAATTTGCAGTCTTCTACATATTGTCCTCCAGTTGAACCAGCACCATTTGTTGAAAATGCTGTCCTTTTTCCACTGGACGGTTTTAGCTCCTTTGTCAAAGATCAAGTGACCATAGGTGTGTGTGTGTTCATTTCTGGGTCTTCAATTCTATTCCATTGATCTTCCTGCCTGTCTCTGTACCAATACCATGCAGTTCTTACCAGCTGCTCTAGGACCGTTCAGGATAAGGTGTTTTCATGGAGCAGACCAGCCTGGTGTCTGCCCCAACCAAAAGGCGCTTCATTTGGTTTTATATTGCCTATTATTAATTATCATCAGCCATGGCAGTATTAAGTGAGCTGCGAGAAGCCAGTTAAATTTCTCAGCAAGACTGTGGTTTGGTCAAAAGTACTAAGTCGAAAGTAGTGTTTCAGATGAAAAATAAAATATTTTGCTATTCTATCCAATAGTGTTTTACGGGGAATTAGTTAACAATACAGACATTATTCTGGCTAGAAAATGGCATTTGTTTTTAAGAGTCAACTATTACTAATGACATTGTGCTATCAATTAGATAAACCTTCCTAGTGGCTGAATCATTAAACTTTATCAGGTAGAAAATATGTTAGTGGATGATCTGTTTAGTTTTTATTTTTATAGAGCAGCATGACCAAAACCTGGATGCAAGGTTAGCACAAAAGCTGCATGTTCAAGAAATGCACATAAAGAGTAAATGGGAGCTGGTCGTGGTATTTCAGTGAGTGGGCTTTCTCCGTGGCCAACCAGCCTTGTGACAAGAATGTCTTTCTTTCCTTGTCTTAATATTTGACCTTGGTCTCCTTGAAGGAATTTACATAGGCACCACCTCTTGAATGTTACTTTTATGGGTAATTCTTTTTAAAAGATTGTCTTTAAAATAATTTTAGGTTTTTAAGAATGTAACCACTCAGTTCTAAAATCCTGGGAAACAAGATAAGTAGAATCTGTATGTGCAATTCTGACTCAATGTAAACACTTCTTAAAATTTTAGTGGATAAAGGAAATTACTTAATTTTAGACTGCTGTTCGGTTTGTATTACTTCATTGACAGTACTGAGGAGAGACCTAAGATGTACTCCAGACACACCAAGATTTTTTTTCTCTTCAGACACATCAAGATTTGTTCAATCAAATACATGGTCACTATAGAATAGCAATATTTAGACCTCACAGGTCTGCCACCTTTTGGTGGGGACAAGTTTTATAGCTTATATTTAGTAACCTGCAAACAAAATGAAATAGATCTTCATCTATTCTTTCTTAGATGTCTATTCAATGTCTGTTTTGTGCCAGATTCTCTGGGTATAACTTGTAGAGGATCCGTTTGAATAATGAAGGCGGTAGGAAATGCCAATTCGACTAGGAAGCAGTAAGGGAAATAAGTCATTGAGGAAGTGGCTTTGTGTGTGAGGTAGACAGAAGGGGCAGAGATGTCCATAGTAGGTTGGGGGTGGAGGGTGAAGAGTAAATGCTTTAGGTAAAGTTGAATAGTACATGAAATCCTAATGAAGAGATTGTAAAGCATGGGGCTGAGCGTGCCCAGTGTGGCCTACAATTCCAGTGAGGTTGTCAGTGGTCTTTCTTTTACTTTCCATGGCTACTCTATCAAGGAGATAAATGATAAGACCACACTATCTGTAAGCATTTTAAGAAATTTGGATTCCATTCTGAGTGAAGGGGGGATCCATGACAAGGAATTAAGTAGAAAAGTGACAGCAGCGCACTGAGACGGCAAAAGCACCATTGAGGAGAAGAGGCAGCTACGAGTCTGTCAGAAGGACTCAAGGGCAACACGCTGTGGCCCTGGTAGAAGAGGGTCGTGGGTCATGTTTAAGACATAACTTAGCACATATTGTTGGGATGAATGCATAATCAGAGGCAAAAAGTAAGAAACATCCATATTACAATGAATTCCAAATAGATTTAAGGTATATATAATGAACCACAAAAATATTAGTGGGGTTAGAGGTGTAATTCAGTAGATGACTATTTGCCTAGTGTCTTTGAGGCCTGGGGGTTGATACCTAAAAACAGGTACACACACACACACACACACACAC